TTGACTTTCAAGGCCTCTCCCAGGCCTGGGCTTCTAGGATTCTCCCCATCCCAGCCCCTGCTTTCGGCAGCCAGCTGCCTTCTGGATGAGTCAAAAGCCCGCCCAGCTCTGGCTTCCTCTCTGGGTGGGGCTCCGAGGGAGCCGCCAAGGCCTCCCTCCCCTGCCATACAGGGCCACTGTATTCACGGCCTCCGGGGTGCCTCTCGCAGCCACCACCCTCCTGGAGTCAAGAACCGAATAAATTGGCTAAAGAAGAAGGCAGAAACTATGCACACACACAAAGAGAGGGAGTCTTGGTCTGAAATGAGAAACGCCGTCTTGCTCTGGCCTTTTATCATAAGCCCATGGAGATGAATATTCTGACCTAATAATCAAAACAGGCTGTAATTGCAAACAGACTCAGGCTGCATGGCTGAGGGCAGATGAGATACCTGCTGAGCACAGCAGGCCTGGCCCCACCAGCCCTCCTCCCACCCGCGTGGATCGATGAGGCTGGCCCGCCGCACACCATTTTGCTGGCCTGGCTTGATCAACCCCTGCTCACGTGCTGCCTTTCTCCAGGGACTCCGGGCTCCCCTTGCAGGGACACCTGCTCAGAGGAAGCCAGTCCCTACCCCTATCCCGAGAAAAATGTGATAAACACCAGCAGCATCCCGAAGGACCACAAGGAGGAGGGAAGGGGGTTTTGCTCCCACCTCTCTCGAACTCCACCTCCTCTTGGCTCTGGAAGATGTTCTCCTGGGTGCGCCACCAAAGCTGGAAGATCTTCGTGTCCCCTCCCTGCTCCCACCTCCTTTCTGTGTTTTGTTTCAGACACACCCTCAGCTCAAATTTGCTTTGAAGGTCAGTAATTTCCACTGCCTTTTCAAAACAACCACACCGTTCTTCTGGGACCCAAAGGCTGATTGTCTGCACTGAGGAATGAATCTCCCTCAACAACAAGTACATTCCAGAAATATCCATCTAGCATCTCCAGTGGGCAAGACATTCAGGAGAGCCAAAGATGAACCTGGCCTGGGCCTGTCTCCAGAGCATTCCCACTAGTGAGGACCCGACCAACCAATGGAGCTTCTACCATGTTCCAAGGACTTTATACATATCCCAAAGTGGGGGATCTTACAGAAGGGACCAAGACTCAGAGACGTAGAAGAGACTCTTCATTGAACAAACATTCATAAAGGCCATAGGCATTTTGGTGTATTTGCTATTAGGGCTTTGGACCAACCCCATCTTTGCCTACATAGTCATGGCAGGACACCATTGACGCTCCAACCCTGCCTGTCTGCATCCAAAGCAAATGTCCTGCCAGCCCTTTGCATTGCTTGATTGCTCTTTGTGGCCAAGTTTTTCCCAAGACTAAGTGAGGACCTCTATAAGGGCTACTTCCTGATTCCTTTCTGCAAACACGTGATGGAGTCCCAAGTCTATAGACGGCCTTATTGGAATACTTGACATTCAGCTGGGGAGGGTCCTGGCTCTCGCTCCTCAAGCACAGTCTCCACCCTGCCTGGTTGCAAAGGCTTCCTGCTGCTCTTCTGCTCCAGTCTCTCTGCTGCATTCTGGCTGACCTTGGACTGGCACGTCCTCTGTTCCAGAGGCTTCCATGCCTCCCCAGCGCCTGTTGACTTCAGACTCTTTGGCCTGGTGTTTCAGTCCTCCTCAATTTACCCCCACCACCTTCCCCATCCTCTCCCCAAGTCCTTCCTCCTTGTGTCATGGACACCCAGCAGCCTGTGTGGCCACCGCCGGTCTCCCTCTGCTCGGCAGGAGCGATGGGCCTGAGTCTCTCCCAGGGTCTGGGGTCTGGGCTGGTCTTGATTCCTGCTTACCTCTGCTTGAACCCTGGTCACGTCCAGGATCCATGCTTTCCCTGACTGGTGTGCACTCAGCAAGACTTTTCCAAGCCGCTTGGATGGGAAAGAGGAATGCGATCCCCCATGCTAGGCAATGGAGCTTTCTGGGCTCCTGCAGAGAGTCCAAGCAAGGCTCTGGTCATGGCTATATTTTACTGATATCTGTCTCTCTAGAAAGGGTCTTTTCCTACTAGGAGAAGCAGCTCATAAACCAAGGCACCTACCTCAGCCAGAAGCTTGCTAGTGGGGTCACAGAAAGACAGGTGCCGTGTGGGGGAGACTTGGGAAGGGGGGAGAGGTCGTGCTCTTAGAACAACCATGGAGATGAAGGTCAATGGACTGAGAGTGGGCAATACTCCTTTAGCAAGTGCCCCCCAGAGGGGCTAGGCTGGAACTCAACTCCTGGGGGTCTATGAAGTGCTGAGAAGCCCTCCCTTTCCGTTTGATTGGCCAAAGAGGAGAAAAACAGAAAGGACTCCTGGATTGTTTCTTCACGTGATTCCACTTGACCTTTTTATCTGTCTCACTGTCCCCAGAAACAAGCCCTGGGGACCTTCGCTTGTCAAGGGACACTGAGGGGGGCACCGGAAGCAAAGTGCTGGTATTTGGATGCCCTGAGAGTTCCTGCACGGTGGTCCCCAGCGCACTGGTTTCAGCGCTGATTGATTCAAGCGCGCACTCATCTGTTGAACAGGCACACAGGATGTGCTCACCCCGAGCTGCTGGCCAGTGATGTGGAGCGGGCAGAAGAGCATCTGCTCATGTGGAACTTCGAGTCCCCTATCCATTTGCTGCATATGTAGGGTATTGCGGGCTGGTGTCCCAGCCACCCGTCCTGCCACTCTGCCAGAGTCCCCTCTTAGCTCCTGAGAGGGAGACTCAGCACTCCTCCTTCAGGCACCACTAGCTCTCGCTCTCCTTGCCTCCACCTGCTTGGCCAGCTCCTGACCTGGCTCAAGTTCAGACCAGGGCCCGGTCCTCCCCTGGGCTTTGGCAGCACCAGTAACCAGACCAGTTGCCTGGGTTGGGGTGACATTCCTGGCGGCACCACATGGGATCCGCCCGCAGCTGCTTTCACTTGCTCCCAGGAGGGCCCCGCGGCTTCCCCAAGTCCCAGGGGAATTACTCCTCCGTCCCGGGAGCATCCTCTTCTTCCACCAACTCGGGAGCACCTGCCACGAGCCGGGGTTGCGCTCAGGGTCGGCGACGTCTGGGACTTCTGCTCTGCTTCTTCGCTGACATCTTCTGGTTCCCACGTGACCCCTCAGCGTGCCTCTGTGTGTCGCACTCACTATTGTTTTTATCATTAATGTGCGGGACTGGGGACCCACAACAAATATTTGTCGACCAAGTGATGAGGACATTTGGGAGAGGCTGCTTTGAAGAATAAACATTTAAGCTGGGTCTTAAAAGAGGGGTAGGAGATAAATAAAGGGCTGGGAAAGGCCATGCCAAAAAAGGACACAGGGTGGACCAAGACTTGGGGGTGTGAACGAGAGACCTAAGGTCTAGGGCCTGGCTAGGGGCTCCTGGCCACGGAAGAGCGCGACATGGAAGTGAAGCAGCAGGTGAGCCTACCAGCCAAGCGAGGGCGAGTCGGGGATCTGAGGCGCCTTGAGGGACCTGAGGGGATTTGGACTTCAACGCCATAGAGGTCCGCGGTGATTTCTGAGGGAGGGAATGACATCATTTTATTACTGATTTTTTAGGTCAGTTACAGTGGGTGCGAGTAGAACATGGACTCGAGGGGGAAATGATACAGAAAGGAGATTATTCAGAATATTTAGAAGGCTCCCGTGATGATAACCTCTTTAAAAATATATATTTACTGAAGCTCCAAAGAGTGATAAGGGACCAACTAACCTAAAAATACACCATGATGGGGAGAACAATGGATTTTCAAATTATTCTGTTATTTGCATAGAATCAAAGAGGCTACCTTCCCAGAAGGACCCACCTGTAATTCTAGTGGTAATCCTCGTGTGTATTGAACTCGACTTTTCTTTTTGCTATGTAGAAGTAATTTCATTTTCTCGTGGTTTGTCCATGCAGCCATCAGAATATAATTATTCAGGAAAAAAGTTAGTCTCATAGCCTTATTTATTTGATGGCACATCATCCGCTTTCCTGGGTAAATGAGACATCTGATTTTTGTGAAGCAACGCTATATACAATATTTGTCACACAATTATGTGGACACGTTTAGCATACCTGTCAGGAAGAAAAAAAAGACCTTAGGGGCTCAGAAGCTTGCCAGGCATATTTATGTATGTTAGAGGTGGCGTGCTTTTCCCAGAACCCTTATCTGTTTTGAAGGCAGTGGATGTTAGAAGTGAAGTCTCTGAGGTCCGTGTTTATTGTTGGTATCTGATGGGAGGCATTTTCAATCAAGTTTAAGGACACGGAAAACGTGCACACACAAGCCCTGAGCATACGTGCACTGTGCACATGCACGCACACATCCACACTTACCCACGTGCACGTGCACATGTGTGCACACACACACACGCACACACACTCACACACACACACACATTGCCTGGAACTAACACATCAAGCAGATGATCTGACCTCTAGAGGATTATTGCTGGAACGGATTTTGTTTTTGTTTTTGTTTTTTCGCTGGAAAGAATTTTCAAATCATCTAGGCCAATCCTTCATGTCATAGATAAGATAACTCACTGCAGCCCAGAGGTGGGAAGAGACTTGCCTACGGTAATTCAGCAAAGGAAAGGCATCGGAGGACCTGAACCCATGGTGGCTAAATCCCATTTCAGCAAGCACCCGACCAAGATAATTTTCTTAGAGCAAAATGTTTCTCCCAGGTTGTGTTGTCTTCTGCAGGGTTCTAATCATAGCCAAGAAAACCCACTTTAGGCAATGTGGACAATACCACCATTCTTGTTTATTAAAAGGAACTGGACACATCGTCAGAGTTGGTCTTTATACAGACCAGACTCCATTCCAACCACCTAGTTCCCTGAGGTTGGCAAAACTTGTGGATTAAAACTGCCCCAGAGAATGGCGTCTCCATGCTGGGCAGATGACTGTGATTTCCTGGAGTTTGGTCCTTTTGGGGTCTGTTCCCATTTAGCCCGTAAAAACAGCCCCTCTCCTTCTTCCTTCTCAGATGGACATGGGGAGGATTTCGCATCCTCTGCTGGTGCTTACCCAACAAGACTTCACTGAACATCTGCTACACACAAGTGCGCCTGGGGTGGACGAGGGGCTGGATGCTGAGAAGGACAGTGTGGGCTCAGCCCACTGTAGGTACTCACCTAGAAATGTTATAATTCCCTGCAAGTCAGGGAATGCCTCTTGTCATTCATTCATCCCTATATTGATCCTTTTACTAAACTACCAACATGTCAGTAAGTGGTAGCTCTTGCACTAAAAAGCAATGTTTCATTTTCTTATATGCCATAAGGCCACGCTTTACCACCTTTATGAGGATTGCATAATTATTTTTATATTTATACATAAACATCTATTGAACTTTGGTCATATGGCAGGTAAATGATCCCGTAGGTGCCTTTCCCTAGGTAATCTCATCTCGTTTCTCTCCCAGCCCTAGGAGACGGTCATTCATGTTACTGCCATTTTTTCGGAGGAGATTTCCCACACGTATTTTGCTCCGGGTTACACGGGCAAGAAATGGCAGAGATGTGAGTCATCGCCAAAGACACTGTACTGTGCGGTTGGAGGAGGTGTCCTGGAGGTGGGTGGCCTTTGAGTTGGACCTGGAAAAATTTGGAAAAGTCAAGAAAAGAGGATGGAGCCTACTAGAAGAGAAGGGAGACTCGCAGACATGACAAGGAGACAAGTGTGCCTGTCTTGGCTGTCTGGTCTACACAACAGAAGGCAACTCTGGCTGATTTGAGTTAAGAGAGAAAGGAGAACCAGGTGCAGAAGCTAGGCTGACTGGCTCACAGAGAAGGCCACCTTGAACATGCTCATCGAGACCGGCCGGCTCATGGGTCCGCAAAAGGCGTCATGCACCGAGAGAGGCTGGTCTCCACGGAGCCATGGCAGAGAGCCTGGGCTTGGCAAGAGCGGGGGCACCTTCTGTGGGCCCATCCTGTGTGCGCGGCAGATCAGACCCCCTCACATTGCCCAAGTGCCCTCTGGCCAAGGCCTGTTTCAGGGAACGGGGAGTCTGGCCCAGCCCTGGGGCCTCAGGCAGTGGGAGACCTTACCCTCTGAAGGCTTGATGCCTTCTCTGACAGGGGAAGCTGGGGTCGAGGTGAGTCTCAAAGGAGGAAGGGTAATCCGGGGGAGGGGGCTGGATGGGAAGGGCATTCTGGGTAGACTGAGGCCCTTGCCTTCGGGGGGTTGAGAAGCAGTGTTGCACAGAGGCTGAGCAGGATGGTTCTGCCCCTCATTTCCTGTGACAGTTTCTTTGTGCCTTATTGGTAAAGTGAGGATAATAGGGGTATTTGCTGATAGGGTCGTTGTCAGGGTTAAGGCAAGGATGTCTAAAATGGTGAGAAGAGTAGCCAGTGTGCCCAAAGGTTCTTGACAAATGTTAGCTGTTACCCAATGCTGTGTTGAGTGTTGTTGCCATCGTGGCTGGAAGATGGGCCCCGTGTGTGGGCCCATGGGCTTGGGTGTGTGCTCGGAGCAGAGGGTGCGGACTGGCCCTGTGGGCCTCTGGGTTCTGAGGTATTGAGAAGCCACTGACTCTTCACCAGCAGGGGATAGACCCAACCACATTTGTGCTTTAGAAGGTTCCCTGTGGTGAAGGTCTGGGAGGACTGGAAGGGGGCACACTAGAGGTGGGGAGACAGTGAGGGGGCCTGTGGCAGGGAGACTGGGGAGTGGGGCCAGTTTGGGGAGCGGCCCAGGAATAGAGCTCACTGGGCTTGACCCTTGATTGGATGAGTGGAGTTGAGTGGGGACAGCCAGCTTTCTAGTGGAAGAACAGTTGCTCAGACTCAGAGGCCATCCACTAGGGGAGCAGGGGATCAAGTTCAGGGGGACAGGCAGGGGCTGGTTAGGGGATTGGTGGAGTGGCCTGGGGAAGGACCATAACTCTAATTAAGGGACCCACTCCATATGAGCAGCCATCCAGGGGGTGACGTCTGGCAGGCACATGGCCCCAGGGGGGCGAGTAGAGAGTTTAGCAGGGAGGCCTAGTGTTGGAGAAGGAGATGAGCCATCAGGGGGTATTTCAGACCCCATGAGGCATGTATGCGCCGAGTCTCAACTGGGAGCAATTTTGCTCCCCAGGGGACATTTGGCAATGTCTAGAGACATTTCTGGTCGTCATGACTGGTGGGTACTAAGGGCATCTAGTGGGTAATGGCCAGGAATGCTGTGAAGCATCTTGCCACACACGGGACAGCCCCAACAGAGATGTATCGGGCCCCAGAGGCCAGCAGTGCCCAGATGGAGAGCCCTGATGCTGAGAGAAAAGAGAAGAGCCCCAAAGCTGGACGCTAGAGGGACACCCACATGTATGGGGCCCGGGGAGCTTGACTGTCTCCCCGGCTCAGGGAGCTTCTCTGCTACCGTGGAGGTGTCGGTGGCCCCCAGGCTGTGATCATTACAATTCTGATGGTTCGCTTTGAACAAGGCCGCCGGAAGCTTTCTCTTTAACCTGGGGAAAAGACCCACCAAGTCAGGAGGTGGGTCCTCCTTCGATACCGACTCAGCGCTCTGCCTCCTGGGCCCTCCCACGCATCCCCTGCCTCCAGCCCGGGGCAACCTGCTACTGCCCTCCCCCCTCCCCACACCTCTGTCTCCTGCACGCCCGCACAGGCATGTCCCCATTCCAGTGACCTTTGGTGCCTGTCCTCTGTCCACGCCCCAATTTATTGCCAATCTCATAAAAAGCCAAACTTGGGAGAGAGTAGATTGAGTTTGCTTCTCACAGCAGAATTTGATTTAAGGCCAAGAAGGTGGCAATTGCTGCAAAGCGGAGATCGGCTATTTCGGGAGTGCTGTGAATGATTTTTTCCATCTCTGAATGACCTTACATATATTCTGCCTCCTGCCCGTCCCCGTGTTGGGATTGATGGGGGTGCTGGGCCTGGGCTCCCATGGGCCCCTGCTGCTACTCCCCATAAATCTGTCTGATGGGCAGAAGCAGCGTGAGCACCTGGCGGAAGGGATGGCTGGAGGGGCTGGTGGGTTAGCACATGGGGGTGTGGGTGGATTCTGGGTGGCACCAGGGCCTCTGCGGTCCCCAGTGCATGCTGATTTGATCCCATGGGGCCGTCCACTGTCACTAAAGGTTCTGCCTGCTGGGGAGAGGTGATCTGGCATGGTTGTCAGCGGTCGTTGAGTACATCAGGGGGCTGCCTCCATCACTCTCCCTGGCCCTGTGCATTCTTGGTCCCTACCCTTGTCAACTCTCCAGCTCTTCCCACATGCTACCACCTTCCCCACCCCAGGATGCCAGAAGGTGCCCCTGTCCTGGGTCAGGAGTTCATAGACTTGGGTTTGGATCTCTTCTACCACTGGCACAGTGGGCCACCTTGAGCAGATTTCTTCTACTCTCTGAGCCTCAACTTTCTAATCTGTAAAATGGGGGTAACACTGGTATAACAGTTTAACCCACCTTCTGGGATTATAAAGAGGCACAAAAGAATATGGGATATGGAATGAGGGGACTCCCATTTGGTTCCTAGCTCCCCTCTGGCTTCGTTCAGGAATGTTCTCCTGGCCTCATTTTCTCCATCTTCAATGAAAGAACGAGTGAAATAGGGGGTTTTGTAACTCATACATACCTTGAGGAGGGCCTCCAAGGGTCCTGCTGGTCAGCGTTGGGGCTGGCTTGTCCCGTCTGCCACAACCAGAGGACCGTGTCTTGACTACTGCCTGTTATCTTCCTGGACTACTAGGCTACAGCTGTGCTCAAAATTTAGAGGGTGGGTCTTCTAGAAGGCACCCGAGAAGGTCTTTTGACAAGGGGAACATGTTGATCAATGTCCACATGCCAAAATGAAAATTGTTGTCCTTTACTTGCAAGAATGTGCCCAACAGATGTCCTTGCCCGCCTCCTGGACTCTTGGCCAACCCTGGCCCTCCCCACTCCTTTCCTTATCTCATCCCAGCTTCACACCCCTTTCACTGGTCCCCACCCCAAGAGGGGGCCCAGTGACAGCTGTGGAAAGGCAAGGGACAGAAGGGGTTGATGACAGTCATTTCACACCTTCTTTGGTGACTATAAAAAAAAATAGCTGAAAATGGAATGTTTGGTTTTTAGACTAAGTCAAAACGTCTCTGTGTCAGCATGGGGGTGCCAACACACGGAACCCAGAACCGTCACGGTATCGGGAACCTGTAGGGCACGCAAGGGTGGAGGTGCCACGCCAGCCGAAGTCTGGCTGTGTGTGCATGCTCAGAAGCTGGCTCCCTGCAAGCCCGGCAGGGCTCAGACTCTGGGAGGCCAGCTCCCCTGGCCACCTGCAAGAGAACGGTGGATGAGGTGCTTCCCTCAGGAAGCCTGTGTAGGGGTGTCCATCCCGATTCCCCCTCCAGGCGAGCACCAGATCAGATGGAAGCTCATGTTCTAGGGCCACGGGGAGCTTTTCCAGGGATGTTTCCCTAAAGCAAATGGGCCGGAGAAGCCTAGAGATGGACTGGTCCACCTCCCTCTTACTACCAAGCAGGAGGCGAGAGGAGAGGCTGAAGGACCTTCTCAGAGCCATAGAGCCAGTGAGGGGCCGAGGTGGATGGGCCCCAAGTCTTCCGCGCCAGCTGCTTCTCACCACAGCACCCCCTCGCCCGCCGAGAGTGGACTTGCCCTCTTGACAAACTCAGAATATGTCAACTTTCACATGTGGGTCTTTATGTATGGACAGGGCAAAATAGGGCGTGATGTATAAAGAAGGGAGGAAGGGGGAAACAGCATTTATAGGGCACCACTGGCATGTCTGGGACTCTATGGGGCATTTCCCATGATTTCTGATGGGATCCTAATAACATGTGAGGCATCTGCTCTTGTTCCTGTTTACTGAGGGAGAAATCAGAGCTTCAAAGAGTCAGTTTCTTGCCCAGAGTTCCTCAGAAGGTAAGAAGAACAGAGCTGGCCTGTTGCTTCCTACAGCTGGGGTTAAGATCTGTCCTCTCCATCTTCCAGGCTTAGGAGTTCCCTCTGCCTAGTCTCTGCCAGTCTCTCCCTGTCCTCCCTCCCTCCTCCCTCCCTTCTCCCTCCCCCCTCCCTCCTTCCTCCCTCCTCCCTTCCTCCCTCACTTCCTTCCTTCCTCCCCTCCCTCCCCTCCCTCTCCCTCCCTCCTTCCTCCCTCCCTCCTTTCTTTCCTTCCTTTCTTTCTCTCTCTCTCTCTCTCTCTCTCTCTTTCTTTCTTTCTTTCTTTCTTTCTTTCTTTCTTTCTTTCTTTCTTTCTTTCTTCTTTCTTTCTTTCTTTCTTTCTTTCTTTCTTTCTTTCTTTCTTTCTTCTTTCTTTCTTCTTTCCGTAGTTGATGAGCAACCACTCTCTGCTAAGCACTGTCCTAGGCTCTGGGATGTAGCAACGAACAAAAGAATGATTATAATCCTTCTCTTTGCGGAACTCAAGTTTTAGTGGGGGGAGTGGGTGGAGTGGGAGGTGGAGGGATGAACGACAAATAGAATAAGAGGTGGAGGTATTTGAGTTAGGGCTACTATCCCACAATTTAGACGTCCCAAGCTGGCCATTTCAGAGAGTGTAACCTAATAAAATCTACAGCTGGCAGTACGTGCTCTGGGGAAAGATAAAGCGGGAGGGGTGGCTTAGGAGGCACAGGGTTAAGGTGCTGCTACACAAGGGGTCCTTCCAGCATGTTCATCTGACCATGCACACCTGCGTCTCCATGTAGACCCTGAGTTTGGAGGCAGGAAGTCCAGCACCTCCCTCGGTCCTCAGGCTCCCCATGCTCCCGTCCCCTCCAGCTTGGTCCCTCAGTCAGGCCCGTGGCTCCTAGAACACAGTCTGCTCTGTCTGCCAGGGCAGCTGGCCCTCGAGGAAACCGCCCTCCACGCCATTGTCTGCTGGCCCTTCAGGCCCAGCTGGAGTGTCAGCGCCTCAGAAGCGCCTTCCCGAACCTTGCCCTCCTCCCAGACAGTTTTAATTGCTCCCTCCTCTGCACTCACACACCACTTTATTATAGCACTTAGAGCTGCTCTTCTCTTTAGAAGACGCTGTGATTTATTCATGGGCCTTATTAATGGGCCTCTTCCCGGTGGCTGGTGCAGGGTGGCTGGTGGGCTGCATGAGTGCGTGAGGGAAGGGAGAGAAGCCCAGCGTGAGCTGCAGGGAAGGAGGGTCGGGCGAGGTGGGCCTTGGGCAGAGGTCATCCGAAGTGGGTCTCCTGGGCAGAGGGTGGCCCAGGGCACAGGAAAGGGAGGCCCACGCCTCTGGCACCCTGTGTCCTCCCACAAGCTGTCTGGCCCCACTCCTGGTCTCCAGGCCACACCGGTCTTGCTTCGCCTTCTGCCTCGGTGGCTCTTGTCCTCACTCCCTCCCTGCCTTCTCTCCGAGCTAGCCCTAAGCACCGGCTGGGAAGGCCTCACCCCGCTGCCCCATGTGATGCTCCTCACCCCGCTGCCCCATGTGAAGCTCCTCACTGGACGGCGGGGCGGGGGGGGGGGACACAGGGGAGGGGAGGACGCGCGGGCCCGGTTTGTGGCTTCTGGTGCGGACTGCCCGCCTCTGTTTGGGTTCTAGCTGCGACCTTGGGCACATGGGCTGTCTTTTCTGTCCTTCCTCGTCCTTTCCTCTGTGAAGTGGGTAGGAACTGTCCTGGCCCCATGGGGGGTGGGGAACCTTGCCCAAGATGACACACACAGAGTGCCAGCCCAGAGCGGGCATGTAGTACATGCTTAGTTAGCATGAGTTTCCTCCTTCGACTGTCTCTTTCCCTTCAGGGCGGCTCCTGGAGGAGAGGGGCCCTCCTGCCCTTGATCCCTGCCACACGGACCTGCGGCTGGGCGAGCCCGGCAACGGCTGCTGAGCCAACCCTTCCCGAGGGAGCAGAGGGGCAGGCTCCGAGGGGCCAGAGGCTTCAGTGCAGGGAAGAGGCCGGGCCCCTTGTTTCTGTGAGCTGAGCACCGGATCTCCCCTTTGCACGTGCTGACGAGTGACTCTCTGCCCATCTGGGAACAAGGTTGCCAGAGAAACCAGAGATGCCTGGAGCCCACTCTTGGCCTCTTGCTGAAACGCTTCTCTCTGCGAGATTATATATTCTGGGCCACATCCCTCCCATCGACACTTCCTCCCTCACTTTACTCCTTTTCTTACTCCTCCATCATAAAAATCTCCAGAAACAGGTTTTGTTCAAAGTGAATGAGGCAATAAATTCTCTGTTTCTGACAGGCCGACAAGAGAGATAAATTCTGTAATGGGAGATGCAGGCCTGCTCTCCTGCCCTGGGGAGCTCTGCCAATGTTCACGTCTGTCCAGGGAAGCGGGGACCGTGTGGGGGGGAAAGGAGGCATCAGGAGGCCCCTGGGCCCATCTTGGGAGCCTGAGTTCAGGTGGGTAGGTATTCAGTCCAGGGGGGATCCCAGTCACCAATCAGGCTGCTCGTGACCTGGGGCAGGTTTCCTGGTGTGTCTGTGTGGCTGGCTGACAAGCTGGGTGGAATGAGTCCCATTCATTCATTCATTCATTCATGCAATTTCCTATCTAATTCATTCACAGATTAAGGATACCTAATTCCCTTCAAGTATCGCCTTCTTTAAGAAGCCTTTCCACAAAGGACTGAAAATATTTGCAATTCAAGTCATTGCAAAAGATTGATTTCCCTGGTAAATAAAGAGCTCCTACAAATCATTAAGAAAAATAAACAACCCCATAGGAATCTGGGCAAAGGATATAAACAAACAGCTCACAAAAAGGTAGTAGGAAGGGCACTACACCCAATGACATGGGGAAAAGACTGACTCTCCCTCCTGATGAGGAAAGTCCGACGGAAGTGTCCCTGAGATGCTACTCCCTCTTCATCCCCAGGCAGCTCAAGACCCCGTTATCAGGGTGTGGTACAGGAGCATGCTGCCAGTCGGTGGGCACGGTGTGCAAACACTGTGGAGATGGATCTGACCCAGCGCCTCTGGAAGGTCACGTGGCAGGACCTCAACACTGCCGCTACCCTGCAAATCTGCCCCTAGAGGTGCAGCCTACCTCTGATGTGCAAGATCATGCTACACGGACAGGATGGTTTACTGAAGCACTTTCCATATCATCAAAGACTGGAAACCACCGAAAGGTCCATCACTAGGGAGTTGGTTAAATAATTTATGGCAGATTTGCACAGTGAGTACTATGCAGTCATTTACAAAAAGGTAGTAGGGAGCACCTTTATGCGCTAACGTGAGCTCCAAGATACATATTTAAGTGAAAAGGGCAAGGCATTCAATGGGATGTAATGCAAAATACGTTGTTATTTGTGTAAAAGTGAAGAAAACGAATATATATACATCTTCACTTTTATACAGATGGTAGCGTGATTTGTATTATGTCCAATACAATACAGTCTCTGTAACGTGGAGCACGCCGCACACGGTGTATGCATGCGTGCTTCTATACGTCTGTCTGGGTGAGGTCAAAGACCTGTGAACAGTGGCTGCTTCTGGGGAGCAGAGCCAAGAAACGGGAGGCTGGGGACACTGGTGGGAGGGAGGCTTTTCCCTATATATTCTTTGTGTTTTGGAGTTTTAATCCTGTGAATGTATTACCTATTCAAAAGAAAATAAATGCCATTAGCCTTTTAAAAAAGAGATAAAGGAGTCTTCCTTGACTCTCTTAACTGAGGCTGAGGTCTGGGAATAGGTAAGGTGAGGAATGGTTGAAGGACCTGCAAGGGCCGGTGTCTGGAGAAATCGTGGCACAATCTGGGGATCATGCAGCCGGGTATGGGTGGAGCATAGTTTTGGGGACCCTTGGTAAGAATGAGGTGATAAGAAGCACAGGGGATGGATGGAGACAGAATGCTGTGTCAAGTTAAAAGAGTTTGGATTTTGCTGCAATGAGGGGCTCTTGAAGTTCTTAAGCAGGGGCAGGAAACGGTCAGGTTATATTTGCGGAAGAACCTCTCGGAGGCCGTGTGGCAAGTGGCCTGCGGAGAGTTTGTGTGCCTGACCCTCCACCCTGCCTTTCTTAGCATTTTCTTATTCCGTCTAAAGTAATGCTGACAGGCAGGTGGAATTCATTCTATTGCACATGGGGAAACTGAGGCTCCAGGATAGTTGAGTCACTGGGCTAAGATCTCACAGCTTAGAATTGGGACTCGAACTCAGGACTATGTGTCTCTGGAGCCTGAGCTCGGAACACGGCCCTGTGTGCTCTGCATGGGCTCATGGGTCTGTGAGAATCATGACTGCAGTGGCCATCGTCGGGTCCTTGACCTTCAAGTATTTGGCCAATTAAGTCAATGGCTGCAACTGCAGAATCTTCTCAGCAAGCTCTCAGCAACTCCCTGGTGCCTCTCACACTGAGTAAGGCTCACAGGCTGCCTTAGTCTCTGATCTTATCCACTGGAAGGGAAGAAGCCCATTTCTTTATGGCTTGTTTCCCTCTTCTAAGGACGTGGCAAAGGTCAAAGGCAGACTTCTCACAGGTAGCAACAGAAAGGGGTAGAAGGAGGTTTCCATTCGATGGGGTCTGGGGGAGATGAATTCGGCTCCAATGAGGCCGAGCCTTCTAGATTTCCTTCCTGATCATTTGGTTTGCATTTTCCTGCCATTTCTTTGCCTGTGTTTTTCTGTGATTCCCATTTTATAAATGTGAAAACCGAGACTCAGAGAGCAGCAACTCGTTTGAAGCTGTCTGGTTTGTCAACGGTAGCATCAGGTCTTAACCTCTTGCTTTGGGATCCCAGATCTTTCTCCCACAGGATGCTTCTTTTTCCTCACTATTAATATGGGTTTATTTGATTTCTCCTGGAACTAACCCATAAATGGTTTGTGATTTCTTTGACAGACGTTCAGTAAGGAGAAATCCTAGTCCTCCCTGTTGCAAAACTGGTATTTTCACTATTTGTGTCCAGGTGTCTGGCCTATTAGCCGTTGAGCCCTGGGGCGGGATGGGTGCCCACTAGAGGCTGAACCCAGGAGCCGGGGTGAGACAATGGGCAGCTCAAGAACAAGGCGCTGCTGGGTCTCTGCTGTGAAGACCACCACTGGCTAGTTTAATTAAGAGCTGGGGGAGGGGTGTGCTGGGGAGAAGAAGGGTGCATTGTGTCCAGGGAGCTGATGAGGTCAGCCAAGGAGCGCTGGGAGGGGCCTGGGAACGAGAGGACACTCGCCTACCTCCGGGATGGCCCAGGATCCCAGCGAGAGTAGGTCTGCATGGGATGCCGCTGGGGACGAACTGCAGTGGGACTGACTTCTAGACTAGCTGCGTCCTCAGATGCTGACCCTCCTGGGCCACGGATGGAAGGTCTCCAGGCTCCCTCCAGGCTCCCTGGAGCTCCCTTCTGACTTTTCCCCAAGCCTAGCCCCAGGGTTCCCATGTCAGGTTGGCCAATCACACTCTGTGACTTAGGGTAAGTCCTGGCAACCGGCTGAGCCTTGATTTTTTCATATGCAAAATGGAAGTAAGTCGTGATTGCTTTCTCTATCGCCGCACCATTTTGGGGTGGACTAACTGTGTAAGCAGACGAGCTGCGGCATAGAAATCACAAAGCACTGTATAAGTGCCTCAGGAAAACGTTTTAAAGAAAAATAATCAAGATTTCCAGCTTTGACATTGTCCCCAGGTGATCTGGGGGAAGGCATTTCTCTTCTCTGGGTTTGATTTCCCCACGTAGCCACCAGATCAAAGATGACAAAGGTACCTTGCCCCTATTCCACCCAATGCTGGTGACAGACCTCACTCATGGATCACTGGGGGTAATGGCAGACCTCACTCTGGTGATCTTCCTGACGTGCCTGGATGCTTGTTTCAGAACCCTTCCTAACACAGCCTCCAGGCAGCTACCGCCACTCTGTCAGAGTGGCTGGGAGGAGAGATCTGTTGTCCATTGATGAGCACGTGAGCTCTGATGCTCTCTGACATCTTGGACCGGAGGGACCCAGGGTTCAGGCCCTGGAGAGGAGCTTGGAGACTCCCTCGAGCTGTCCCAGTGCTACAGGGAGTTTCCTTTTATCTGGTTCAAGCATCTCAAGTATTGTGCAGCAGATAATGGCTTCCACTGGGGAGTTCCCTGATAATTTCCAAGAAATTAAAAAAAAAATGACTCCTGCAAAGTCAATGGAATGCAAGCGAGTGACTTAATAAATTCACACCCCCACACATGCTTGTGCTCCCTCTTGTTCTCAACATGAAGCTGGGTGGGGTAAAATATTTTTGAAGCTCGAGCTTCCAAAGGGCACAGAGCGTGGGGAGGGTTGCCCACAGTAGTAGGGACCTGCTCTGGGGAGGCGCTGTGTGCTTCTCACCTCCCTGCAGCGGGGATTATCGTCATCCCCTATGTTACAAATGAGGAAACTTGGACCCAGAGAACAGAAGCCGGTTGTCCAAGGTCATCTGGCTTGTAAGTGATGAGGCAGGGTCCCAAACCTGGCTTCTGAAGCCCCCACCTTTCTGGGGGAAACCACACCACCTGCCGAGTGAAAGTCTCTACAAGTTGGAATATTTCTAGGAGTTACGGGGGAAGTGTTTCCTCATTGTTGATGTTAGGAAAAGCATTGTCTGAGTGTTACCCACCACTGCACCATCCATGTGTCTCTTCTGAGTCGGACGGGAGCCCTTTGCCTCTTTGCCAGGCTCGCAGCTGTAGACACAAGAACCAGGCAGTGCAAGAAGCCGGTAGAGTGGGTTCTGGTCTAGCTAGCAAGCAGTTCTGGCTCCTCTCCAGACAGAAGTCCCTTCGTGAAACCATGATGAGACCCTACTTGCAGCCCTAGCACTGTGGTTAACGGTGTGATTTCTGGAGCCAGGCTGCCTGGGTTCTTTCCTCAATTTTGCCGCATATTAGCTGTGTAACCTTGAACCTCTCTGTGCCTCAGTTCTTCATCGGTTAAATGAGAGTGATACTCTCCCCTACCCCACAGCGTTGCTGAGAGATCAAATGAGTTAATCTACATGAAGCAACTAGACAACAGTTCTAGTCCATAGGAAGCATTCAGTAGGGGTTAGTTAAGAAAGAATCCTGATTCTCCGGGCTTGGCCCCAGGCACAGAGAAGTGAGGGGTGACTCGGTGGCATCCGGGGCCTTGCAGATTTCACCATGACACACCCAACTGGAGTAGCGTCTTTATTCTGGGGCTCTCTTCAAAGAAGCTGCAGAGCTTCTTTCTCATATTTGGCTGAAGTTCGGTGATATCAGCTCCTCCTCCAGGAAGCCCTCCTGGATAGGCGGGCTGGTCTGCTCACGCTCCCTGCTGCGGGCTCCCAGCCCCCGCTGCCGATGCCACCCTTTGGCCTCAGACAAAGCGGGCACCAGCAGCGGCAGCCCCGGGGCCAACTCGGTGGCTTTCATGAAGCTTGAGCTCCCGGGAGCCCGAGCTGGGTTGGTCTGCTTTGAATGCTATTTGCATTGCAATAGGCAAGCCTAGCCTTCAATACAGGCCCCTTCTCTTTTGACAGAACAGCCTCACAATTGCCTATTGACCGGGCACCTGTTCCTGCCCCAGACATTATGCAAATGCCGGCCAGGAGCGAAGCCGCCAGCCCCCCGGGCCATTGTGCATTGAACCCTGATGGCACCCTGCCAGCTCCCAGCGGCCTTTGTTTCCCCGGCTGCGCTGAGCCCCCCCCCCCGCCCCCGCCCCCGCCCCCCCCCCCCCCCCCCCGCCTGAGGTGCCCCGCCGAGGAGCCTCCCGCTGACAGCTACTTGGGTCCTTGCACCTGAAGAAAGACCCTGCAAGCTGGAGGCTGGCCCATGCTGAGCCCAGCCTGCCCCCCCCCCCCCACCGCCCACGCAGCCAGGGACCAGCCAGGGACCAGCCGGGGCCCTTCACGTCCCTGGGGACGGCTGAGAGGGGCCTGGCAGGCGAGGAGGGGGCAACCCGACGGTGCCATCTGGGGGAGGGGGATTATAATAATCACTCTCACATCTGCTGAGGGCCTTCTAGTTTGCAAAACCCTCTTATGGCCGTTCTCCCTGCAAGGCACACCTGCCCCTTGAGGAGGTGGGCAGGGCAGGGGGATTGTGCGCCTTTCACAGGGAAGGGGACTCAGGCCCCCTGGGAGGAGCTGGCTGATGCCACACAGAGAGTCAGGGGCAGCAGGGGGCCCAGGGCCGTGGTGCCTGCCTCCAGGCCTTTGGGCACGCGGCTTCTCTTGTTGCCTTCCTCTTGTCCACCTCTCCTTGCTCGCGGCTGAGACTCCCCTGGGCCACCATGGAAGGCCGTGCACAGCGTGGCTCCAGCCCGCCTCCTCCTTTCGGGTTCTTCATCCTCTTCTGTTCTCTGGCCTTCACTTTGCCTCATCCCAGAAAGCTGGGTCCCTGGACCAGCAGGATCAGCATCACCTGGGGGCTGTTAGAAATGCCAGTTCCTGGGCCTCGCCCAGACCCGCTGAGTCAGAAGCTCGGGCATGGGTCTGTGTTTTAAAGAGCCCCCATGGGTTCGGAGGCCCCGGCAAGGCGGAGGACCACCTAGCCAGACGGCCAGTTCCACTTCCCTCTCTCCCCGGGCCCCGGCTGTCACTTCTTCCCTCCAGAGCCGTGGCCCCCTCTCCCCGCCGCCATTCCCTCCTTTCTT